AGATAAAGCAAAGTAAGTTGCTACAATCCTATGGCTATCTATAACCTTTATAGTTCTTGCATCTCTTGTGGACCACTGACTTAAATAGGGGCTTTATAGCCCACCTGGTTAGACATTTAGTATCCTCTAGTTCAATGATAAACATCTGGGGTTTATTTTTGCCCTTTCACTTTTGTGAAAACACTCCTACCGTGTCAAGATAGAAAACAGGACTTCCGTGATAGGGGCTTGCTGTTTATGACCATATGATAGCATTCTCAGAAAATAGGTAGGTTCATCCAATTCTCGGCTGTACTAGGCAGGGCGCTTAGGGAGCGGGAAATGATACAGATGGTAGGTGTGCTTTAGCCAACTCTCGCTTTAAAACTGTCCATTTTTTACAATATAAAGTCCAAATTCTTTAAAATCCACCCATTTCTAAGAGTATCTTATCGTGATGTTTTCTTTTTCTGCATCTATTCCTAACCTACTCACTTTTAGGAGTAGGTGGATGGAAGACGGCCATTCAAGTTTACTGGAGTCAGTTCTATTTTCTGAGAATCTAGTTTAACTCCCACTTTTATTTTGTCTATTATATAGTATGAGAAAGGTTTGATACCCAGTGAAGTTCATTTACTAGCTCAATAGCTGGCAGCTTGAACTGCTGATTAACTTGAGTACTTGATGAAAATGCCTGAAAGTTGGTTGTTATCCTCAAAGTACCAAACAATGGTTGGTGGAGTTAAGTGGTTGTGTCTTAACAACTATACTAGAACGATTTGATCACTGTAACAAAATGACTAAAAGTAGTGTCGAATGGCGTGAATAGTTCGATAGTATTCACACGTAAGTGATCAAACTGTCTGGTTTAAGTGGTTGCTTTCCTTTTACTAACTTGAGATTGTCAGTGATTTGCCATTCTAGCCCAGAAGAGCTAAGCAACTTATTCAAATAATTCTGGCAAACAGAAATGAAAAAAATAGTAATGTCAAGAAAGGGTAAGATGATTTCAGACAGGAATCACTTTACAAGGACTGTACAATGACTTGAATAATTTGAAAATTATTTTGCCAATTGTAGACGCTACAAGTTCACTTGGTCAGAGTATCAGTTTCGAACTATCTGAGTCCATTGTTAGACAATTTTGATTAATTTGAACTAGGTCAGCTGTAGTTTTCACCTGACTTAAATGCATTTGGTTTGTCTCTGTAGATCAAACTGGTGTGCTCATATTATTTGCTAGTATAATCTGATGACGGTTTACTTCAACAAAACATGTAACTTGTGACTGGATTTAAATCAGCAGTTTCTGAACAGTCAATAATTCTGATTAACAAAGCAGCTGAGAAACATATTTGGTTACTAAGGTGGAAATGAAATGTTTTCAGGCAATCAGTTTTGTAGCTCAACTGGTAAAACAGTAGTTTGATCATCCAGATAGAATGGTTTAAATTCGACAGGAGCTTAAAATTTTTTTCAACTTCCTTTAGCATATTTCAACTAAATGTAGATCCTGCGCAACAAATACTGTTTCATATAGTCAGAGTGATACTTGAATGGATTTAATGGTTGCGGAATTAAAGTTCACTGACTGTTTGGAAATTGCAGTCCCATGGCGTAATGCACAAAGCAAAAGTTGTGAGTTCTTATCATTAGTATTATAACTGTATAATATATAGTGTTTTTGTACTGTTACCCATATTCACTACAGTATATTTCCTTGTTAACACAAGGTAGCAGAGAATGTGAAACTGAACTTTAAATCTTAAAAGTACATGTACTTTTGAATAACATTATACGTCCTACTGAATACAGTTTTAAAAAATCCATCATCATTTATATTTTCATGGTTAAAGTATAATTTGTAACTGGAATGATACTCCTTGCAAGAACACTTTGAAATATTGACCAGCTAGAACTGTAGTTTATAAAAGGATAAACTTCATTTTGCAACAAGTCATATAACTTCACTTACTATTAGAATATAAATTTTGATTCACTAACTGAAAAGTGGAGTTTCAAATATAGATCTCACAGCATTTGACTTTGTTGAGTGTAGGGTGCATAGCGTAAGTCACTTTTTAACTCCTGTGGTGGAGGTTCAGAATCCTGACATAATAATTTTTGATAAACGCTTAAGGAGTGAAGCAGTAAGCTGATTATATAAAAATGTACATAACTTTTAGCAGGTTACTGTTATTCTAAGAAACATCCACAACAGAACATGTGTTTACGCTTAATATGTGTAAACATTTATGCAGATGTAGGGAACCAGTTACGTAGGAAGGCATACATAAGATTCTTTGAACCTACTTTTGGTAGGATGAGATAATTTCAGCATCACATGTACCAAGTGTCCTATTGACGCAAGATGTAAGGTAGACCATTCAAAGTTATAAATGCACAAAGTTATCCAAATCTTCAAGTCTTTGTAACCGCATTTATGAGTTCAGAAAGAAGGATTAACCGGTCTTTGTTTGGATAGGTAACTTGACAATCAACTCCCATTCTTGTCTGACAACATATTCTTTTGAATTTATCTTCTTTGTTTAGTGAAGAGTTTTTTTTAATTTATTTAATTTCAGTGGTTAGGTGACATTTTACCACCGCCAGTATTCGGCATGTTGTCATGTAAGCTCACTTCTGCGTGACCGATATTGGTGGTCATTATTACGTTCAAATATTGTCTGAAATGAGTAATTTTGAGAGTAATTTTAATTAATCTCTTTATTTACTTTACTGTTTTAAAAATTTAGAGTGCAGCATTAAGCTTACATGGGGACATGTCGGATACAGTCATTTCATTTAATGAAGGGAAATTCTGAAAACTGATTTTGATTCATTATACTGTTACTCTGTTTGTTGCTTACTCTGATCTATATGTTAACTTTGTTGCATAATTCACCATTTTAAGGCAAAACACTTTGTTACTTTCCATGTAAAATTTCTTACAGTCTCTGCTGATACCTTGTGGATTGTATTTAGATAATTATGTTGTTTACCACATCACGCTGTTTTTTGTAAACTGGGTTTACCTCGTTGAATTATCCAAAAATTCTGTTCCAACGATCTTACAGGTTGTGAACGGTTGATGAGAAAAAAAACAAATAAAAAAATGTCATGTTATTCTGCTGTGATTACCAATTTTTCGCTATTAAAACGTTTAGAGCAAAGTCAGTATTGCAAAGTAATGGTGTTTATTATTCCTTACATTGTAATCTCTTTACGTCTTGTAGTCAGCATTCTAAACCGAGAAAAAATTAACGGGAAATTACAAGTATCAGTAAAAACAACTGACACCCATTGTACCAATGGTGACTATTGTGCTTCAGTGTCCTAATGGATAGCACTTTGGTGTTTGAAATAATGGCCACTGGGTTCGAGTCTAGGTGGGAATAACATCACTCACTAGGTGGAGTTACATCCAGCTGATAAATTCAAAATAAGATGAAACGCGCGTCTTGGATCCCGCTGTTAGCCATTAAACAAACTCAAAGACCTTAAAGACTGGAAATCTCCCATTACAGTTAAAACACGAAAAAAAATGTGTGTGGTAAATGATTATGCATGGAAGCGAAATAATAATACATATATTTATTTTCCCATTTTTGAATTCCTCTACACAGGAGGAAATATGATACACTGACATAAAATTCATTCACAGTTGAATAGGTGCATCTCAATTATGGTACGTGCGGGATTTAAAGCGTATCAAAAGCCTGGCAAATTATAGCTTATCCAAGCTAATGATGTATATATATATATATATATATATATATATATATATATATATATATATATATATATATATATATGAAATCTTTACACATTGCCTGTTTTTAGAAGAAATCTAATCTATCTCATGCTGGAATACTGGAAAGCATTGAAACTGCATAACTACTGTTGACAGTTGTGTTTCTTCAAATAACTAGATTCATTTTTGTATTAGGGTGTTTGTGTATCATTTTTATAAGGGTTATGTTTATCTTTAATTTGTCACTTCTTTGAAATGTTCAGAAAAATCTTCTTTCAATCTTCTAAACACGCTGGTATTATACTAAAATTACCCATGTAATGATTTATCAATTATCTCAACCAAATCGCATACTTTCTTTCTCAACAGCACATGTTAAAAATTTGCAGACCTTAGAGAGTCCTAACCATATCAAATACAATGGAACAGATTTACGAATCGCAGTTGGAACAACTTGAACTGGAAATTCACTTTTCAAATCTTAAAACGCATACAGTAAAGTTGATGTTTAATGTTCCCTGGCATAATTTTTTGACTAGTAATGATACTGTTAATAAACGTCTGTCTGACTATGGTGAATAGGATTATGAAATACTAAAAATAGAAATGGGTCGTGAAATTTCCCCTTTTTTTGCACTCATTCATGTCGTCCTAATGAGTTAGTCTAGAAACTAGTGTTTAAATCGTCTATGCCAAATTGAGTACAAACTAAAATTGCGAGGAAATGTTAACTTCCGGTTGTCTTTCACTCTGAATCTGAGCAGAAAATACTTCAGATAGCAATGTAGTTATGCTATCATGCTTAGTAGCAGACAATATAATTGTGTCTAAACTACTTCATAGATATTCGCTAATATTGTTTAGAGTCTAAATTTTTGTTATATCACAAACAAAACATATAACGATTAATTTTGTACAAATCTCCATCATATCTGATCACTTGAAGGTAACCGATATCATATTGCTTACTCATTGTTACTAGGTAAATTCTACCTGTTAAGTTTTCATAGTGATCGTCAAGTGAGGTGACTTCCTATCATCTTAAACAATTCATCATTCCCTAAAAGTAACTAACATAAACCCATTACGGATAGGTCTTGATTCAGAAAACATTTCTATCAATTAGCATACGTGATTAATTTAAATCAGCCTCTTGACTAAGTAGTGATCAAGAAAAACAAACAAGAAAATACAAAAGTCTGTTACCTCCATAAGGGTTCAGCTGAAACTTACCTATAACTTCTTCCTGTCTTAATATTTCTCCTTCTTAGTAGTGTTCACTAAGCAATAATGACGTCGTCTTATCAATATTCAGATCACGAATGCTTTTAAGGCGTAAAAATGGTTCCAAGTCTCTACCTTCATCGAATTTAAAGCATGCTTCAACAGAAGCCATATATTTGGCTTTTGCTAACCGTAAACACCTTTCTAAGGGGAAAAGAACTAGAAAACTGAAATATCTAATGCAGCAAACTAATAGTACTTCGATAAGACAGTTAGTATTATATTTAGAAATCCATTTGTGCTGAAGTAAGTGTATAGTTCGATGTGAAACATATACTTAACACATAAGCGGCAGTATGATCCAGTTTATATCTAAATACCGTGCTTAAGACTCATTTATTTAATGATTAAATGATTTTTATCCTACAAGCAAATTTCAAGACTACACATATTAGAAGTATCACAAGCATAGTTCTTGTGGAAAACGCCAGCCAGGTAAAGTGGAAATAACTTCAGCACATTTGATCCAAGAATACCTTTCGTTAAAGATAGCTGTCGCTCAAACAAACAAAGCGACCAGTTTGATAAGGTTTGACTCATCATCAATAAAAATTACTTTCATATACTAACTGCTTATAGTTCATACTTTATTCTGAAACATGACATTAAATGACAAATTATTGGTTTTTCTCGATACCATATAGTCAATCTAATAACCTACAGCTGGATAGGCGAAAACACAAATATTGACCTCACTTGTTTAGGCTTATACTAATTCATGAATCTCTATTCTACCAAAAGTGTACTTTTACACACACGTACACTCATTTCATGTCTGACTCACCTTGTTTCTTTATCATTCTGATACAACCAGCAAAACTTGAGTGTGAACTATTCATATTCTTCTACAGTAAATGCGTCAGATAGTTATCCCGAAATCTCAGATAAAGTCATAATTGAGTGACTGAGAAGCTTTTTAAGTTTCAGAATTGTCGAAGACGATTTTCTGTTATCGATATCATTTAGAAACTGTTCATAGTTAAGATGAAGCAACAAATTTGTAAGTTTTAGTCATTACAAATTTCTGTCATTCATAAGTTAGGGCCACAATTCACCCAAAAAACATATATGATAATTCCTTAGGCTATTTTTAACTTTACTTGAAGTGGTAAAATAATGTGTAGTGCATAGATTCTCCGACAGAATGAGGTTGCCTGCAATGATATACTACGCTCACTTGAGGACTGATTACTAGTATCGAGTTTTTTGTTATTCGAAATACTATAAGAACTAATTCGAAAACACTTACCCGTTGATTGTAAAATTCGTTCGTAAAAGTGAAAAAGAAACTATTGGGATGGAATAATGTCATTTATTAAAAATTAAACGGAGGAAATCAACTGCATTTAAATGTTTCTCGAACATTTTGCCAATGTCCATCAGCACGAAAAGAATAACTGTTGATTAAGTAGAAAGTATTAAGGGGAATCTCTGCCATGTGTAATGCAAATATAATGTTTTGTACCTTGTGCAAGTTTAGATTTTATGCATATTTCTGGTTCTAAAAGATCTGTGTTTCTACCCATCCTGCTATCATGGTCACTTCTAGTGGAGAAGTCGTCTTTTCTCGCTGAAGGTTTTGAAGATGACCGTACTGGTACAATCATCGATGACTGGATTGGTTCACGCCATTCAGATTTATATGGAGAAAATGAATTAACTGATTGATATTGACGACGGTTACGGGAGTTGGCAAAATTACTACTGTATGGAATATTTGAGTTGGAATTTGCCTGATTGCTTAGAGCATATTGTCTCTCCAGCTGTTCATCTGTAAGAGTTTGACAGTATTTGTCCTCAGTTGAAGGGATCTTAGACATAGACACATATCGTATTATATTTGCCGGACGACTATCCGATTCATTCGAAGTTTGTCTATACGATGGCGATTCGTTAACAGACCTAAGAACTGGTCTGCTAGAAACTGGATAGACAGTAGAAGATTGGTATTCATCATCATAATCCCTGATTCTATTGGATACGGGTATTACTTTCTGACTTTCAACTGGTGAACTTCTGACCGAGTTATCATGATTTGGAATCGATTCGATGAATATATTCCATCTCTATAAAAATTGTACCATACACATTAGTACAATAAATGCTTACACTGCTCATTCTGTTTAACTAAGTTTTCAGCAGAAATAGCATTCATGCAACTGTCGTTGTTCACGAAGAAACTACTTATATATTAAGGTTGTAGCAACTATTGCAGATGGTTTACAGGTCATTAACGCAAAAGTGAACATGTGATAAAATGTAAACCAAGCTGTTCATTCCTTGATGTACTATTGGTGAATAAACGTATTTATTTAAAAAATGTGATTAAAAATCTTCTAGTTACATGTAAAAATGCAAAATTCTCAGTGAAATATATTTTTCCATAGTCCTTTGTAGGATTATAGAAAATGTTCTATAAAAGTCCAGTAAATTCTATAAACTAACACATTCTATACATCACTGAGAAGTGAAATATTAACATCAAATCTGAAAATAAAGGGTAAGGTGGACTATGTTATAAAATGTTGTCTACCTCTTATTGTAACTGAAGGGGATCATTTCATATTGCGAATATCTTGACACATAAGGAGAGTAGGGTGGATTCAATGGTGATTTGTTACTCGATTATTTGCTTTTTCGGAAAACTACTTCATAACAAGTGACTGTTTTTTGGAATGAAGTCAACAAGAGACTACTTGTTTGTAGATACTCCCAACTCATTTGAGATCTAACCCCTAACCTTAAGGTCTCTCACGGAGCTTGCTATTATTCAGCCAGTGAGATAGAATTCAGTGGTTAACCTTTTTACAGCTCTAGCCTACTTACAGTATATGGAAAAAACTTTCCATGCCATTTACTAATCAAGTGCACATTGTGAATCAGCCTTGATATAAAGTTCTCGAAGTTCTTGTGGAGAAAGATTACTCATTAGGTCTAACAATTCGATCAAGAGGATGATTGCTCGTCGATGATATTAAATGATGGTCACACAATTTTGCAAGTTGATTGAAGGTGAAAACTATGGACTATTAGAATTCAACGCATGGCTGGATCAGGCATACATAAAGTTATAAGTAGGCAGTGTTAAGAATATGTAGCCAGGAATTATAAGTGACCTCTACTCGATATTTTATTGTTAAGCTAAACATTCGAACTAGAAGCAGTTTAGCATATGGTTCTTATAATCACTCAAAAAGCACCTATTTTTGAGGGGGATGAGCTTTCTTTAATTGAACCTACTCTTTTTTGCCCTAAACTGAGCTAGTCAGTGGTGATAGATTTCAGTTTGGGGTTCTGAATTCAGATGACTCCTGCAGTTTCATCTATCTAGTTTGCAAGTCTTTCAGATACATGCCAGAAGAATTCAAATTTCAAACGACGTATTCTGGCGTAACATAATTAAGATATTTGTGATGCAATAATATTTTCAAAAAAATGTTTTGGAATAAATCGTGTTATTTCTACACGTTGGATTATACTTAATGAAGTTCATATAAAGTGAACAGCTTACTAAAATGTAAAGTGAATTGTACCATACAGCTTTTGTGATTATGACTGAGGTATCAAAAAGGAAGTTTGAAGCATGTAAGATATCAGGTGAGCGGCATTGTCCTACATTTGCCTCGATCTGTTTTATCTACATCCGTTGTCTACTATCGAAAGCATTCTAAGACCAAGAAGGAAAAGAATTGTAACGGGATATTATTTCAGTGAAAATGTTTTCAAAACGTGCCCCTCGGGCTTCATAGTCATATATGCATAAACGCTATTAGAATAATACTCAGCGCAAAGTATAAAGAAAATTGTTGTAGATGATGCTGCAAATTTGATGAAAGAAAAGAACTGAATACAACGTTAGGGAAAATAGCAATGATCGGAATAATGTTGACTCGGAGTTAAATATATGCATAATAGACATTCAGCTATGGTATATGACTGTGTGACAGACCCTGCGGGGGAACAAACCCAGGACTATCAAGTCTTATGCTGACCATGTTGCCACTCAGCCAAGCGCACACCAGTGAGTATGAACTTATACCCTTCTTTCTGTCTTTTTGTTTTACTTACCTCAAAATTTACCATTGTTCAAATTACATTCTTTAGCTCATTTGATTTGTTGTATTTATCTTTTTTAATGTACACGGTTAATTTGTTCTAACAAGAAGTATGTTTCTCATTTTACCCTCATTAATTCTGAATTGATTCTAGTCTGTTTGCAGCTAAGAAAAAGTCAAGAAATGACCTTAGTTTGTTCTACCTGGTGTTATGGGAATGATATTTACTACGAATAAATGTTGGCACAACTAGCTAGGAAATGAAATACATTGAGGAGTTCTGTGTATGCGACTGTAGGACCCGATAAACAAAGATCATCTAATAAAAACAATAGATTAACTTGTACAAATGAATGCAAACAAAAATTAAAGAATCCGATAAATATTACAGTTTATAAAGGGTGAAGGTTAACAAATCTACAATTCAAACAGATGATACTCTACAGTTTTTAAGAGTTCATGGGTTCCAAAACTGACCATATTAGTAGAAATAACTGCGCCAATTTTTGTGTACATAATTCATACCGTTTGGGCCAGACAGCTCTATCTTCTACCGTTTGAAGTATTCAGCGTCCGGCGGTTTTTGAGGATGTTATACACAATAGAGAAAAACTGTTTACTTTTGGCTTTATTGTCTGCTTGAACCAGCTAGGTCATTCTGTCGAAATAATTTATTTTTTCACTACATATTTGTTTAGCCACCATGTAAGATGTTCTCAAGCACTGGAAATTTAGTTCCTAAAGCACTACCCGACATAACTGACTGCACAGGAATAACTCAATAAATAAATGCAACAGTAAGCAATCAGCTTAGGTACTTCATATTTCAGTCGCAGTATGATGGGTGTGTTGAAAATATCAGTTTTAATTTTCCTGTAATAAAAGTTCACCGGACTCATCTTCGTAGCTTCTTCCAACATTTGATACCAGCTAATGAATGAAGTCTAATTGCTGTTAAGATACATTTATTCTTTGATTAATCAATACGGATACATACATGTAGAATCTTGGGTGGAGTTTATCGTATACAACAAGCCAGTTTTTCAGTTAGCATCAAAAATGAACCTGACAATACTGCTTGGTAGTCTACGTAACCAGTCCACAACTCACTCTATCAAAATACAAGGCAAAAAGATGAGAGGTAAGTTACTCATGGAAGTTTAGTCCTTTTTCAAGTGCTTTCGTTCACCTTTCTGAAACGAAAGGTAAGTTAATTAGGGAAAAGATGTAACTAACAGTCATAGAAATGGAGGAATAGGAGGTGAACCGGTAGGGAGATGCAGCAATACGACAGAGATAAAGACAATTAATGGATGGATCTGCGCCACTGAAACCAATTCTGCGTCATATCACCTGCAGCTTCCAACCACTGATTTCGTTTGTCAAGCAAACCACAAACAAAAACACTACATTCCCCTGCATGGTGCACACCAACAGTCAAAGACCATGGAATGAACTCACTTTTTTATCTACCAACTATAAGTCTTCCTCAAGTCGAAGTCTACTTCACCTAGCATCACGTGACAGGATAGAAGGCAACTGGATATGCGTAAAACAAGCACCAGTCACCTGAGTTGATAACGGTTTACAACCTTATCAAATGAATCATTTCTTTTGCTTTAAATTCTGCGCCTGACTTCTACGTTTAAAAACATAGTAGTTTTACGATACATGACCTATGCTGCCAAGGCAGAGGTGATCAAACACCTGAAATCGTTTCATTTCTTTCACTTCTAGTGGACTTGGTTCCCAGCCATCTAGTAAAAGATAATGAACTTAAGAGCAGTACACCCAACATTTAGTAGGCAGTTGGTTATCATACCAGTGACATAGATCGGGTTAGTGAACAAACGTCAATCGAGTTTTTTGTATCAGTGCAGAGATTTTGTCGATCACTGACCCAAATTATACGAAACAAATGAAGGGCTAAACCAGTTCATCTCTTGTTGTTAGATGAGACACAAAAGCAGATCATTCCTTAAATAATAGTTTATGTTCAAGTGGTAAGAAAAGCATCATAAAAATTCTCGAGTGATCACCCAAGATGTCTAAAAGACTCCGCAATCTTTCAGCGTTTTCAACCAACAGACTATTCATCTGTTTAATATAGGTTTAATAAGAAGTCCCCTTTGATAAGGTCATACTAAAAAAACACTTCAATGAAATTTCCTGTGATAGATTTCGATTAAAACGAAGTTGACATTTTGATGAACACTACTCTTCATAAACAATTCATCCCATACATCACCGAAAGCTCTAACATATCCATGAGTCTTTGAATACTTATCCTTCAGCAGTGTCACGTAAAACTAACTTACTGTCCCTGAACACCTCTGGTGTAAGTTCATCGTGACCTGATTTCCTTCCTTATTCTCAACTTCTGTTTGATTTAGGGAAAATGTCCCAATGTTTTATTCAAAATAGGATTAGCTTGCTGGACGCACAGAGTAGCTGGAGGTGAGCTGAAGAGTCCCTTGAAGTGTTTCAGTAATTGTTCGGGTCGTCTCAGACCCATCTGTCTCCAATGTAGTCTCATTAACTGTTAAGATTTTCAGATCACTTTTCTTGATTAGTCGAAATAAATATCTAGTTTAGTGTTACTGCCGTAGTCTACCGTGTGTCAGTACAGAGTCATTGAGTAGACTCTCTGTCAGTTTATCTTTTCGTGTTAAATTACAAGTTGTTGGTAATTAAAAGAAATGCATATAGAAATCTGAATGATGCTTAAAAGAGATAACTTAAAAATACTTAACTGAGTTTCTTTTACTAACTGTACATAATATTTATTAATGGTAGACTTGAATAGCCACCGTGAAGTAACCACTTGTAACCCATTTTTGATATTCTCAGAATCATCTCTGAGTAATTTTCAATGTGCTATCAGCCATTAGCTTTATGGAGAAAGTAATAAACCTTGAGAAAATCACCAACTGATTTCCTACCTAGTTCAGTACACCTTTTTGACTTACTGGTTTCGTTCATTTCTGAAGTGCAAGATTGACGAAATCTTAGGTTAATCTTACTATTTACCTTTTTATGCTATCCAACATGACTAAATACTTC